GATACTTATAATAGAAATAGGTCTGTGGGGATTTTAATATCGACTACAAAGAGGAATCCACAATCTGTACTCAAAGACTAGAATCCGAGGCAGTTGCAGTTTCACTAAATAGAGTTTCAAGCTTCTCAAGAAAACGTTTTTCATTACCTTCACGTGATCTATAAACTGTTATAATTGTAAGATTGTTTTGAGTTAGACTGATACCACAAAATTCAGAATGTCCTTTCTCATTGAACTTTTCAAAGTTGAAAGTTTTTGTTTCATAATTATTTCTAGAAAACATGGCTACTCCACCATGCTCACTATTGAAGCTACGACAATAAAAAGATTCCAGTTTATATCCAGGAATGTTTACTTGTTTTAGATTCTCTTCGCTTTGCCAATGTTCAGATATGAAAAAGAAATCGGATGCAAAATCATTCAGAAAAGTTCGATTTGCTCCAGTTTATTTCCAATACTCTGTATATTTACATGGAACATACTCACCGAACTTCCACATTCACAATCATTTAAAAAAAATCTTGATAAAGATTTTGTCAAGTAATTTTCGTCATTTTTTACAAGTTCTCCTCCGAGATGTCTCTCTTTAGAAAACAACAACAACAACAACTTTTTTCTGAAGAGATTGTACATTGACCGTTAAAACTGACACTAAATTACCGCGTGGAGAACTTAAAATAAATGTATTGAATGTTTGCTCTTCTCCAGTTGTAGGTTTGGATGTTGTAACAGCAGAGTCTCTTTTCGGGTTTGAACCTAGCAATGCCCCGCCTCCTATACACTTAACCCCGACGAAGTACACTACAGAGAGTGTAATTCTTCCGGACACGTCTTCATTTCTAGAAGAAAATGTGAATTCTCAACCAGGGCCTATGGTGTCTTTTCCTAAATACAACAACTACCTGCTAGACAAGTCAAAGTTTGACCAGCACACCAGAATACTGATTCCTTTGAAACTCCTTGGAATAAATCCTGTAGAAACTGGAGAAATTATTACTAAACATAGCCTGCCGATAGATGGGGCTGTCGTCAGTTACGCTCAGTATAAAGAGGCAGGAATGCTGCTACCTAAATCTTACGATGATTCAGTTGTCCGAAGGTGGGGTATAGATATAACAATCGGTTCTCCACTTATATCTGTTAGCGTTTTGGTACCTGAACGTAACGATGTCAGTCGTTCAAAGTCTGAACACGGTGTCACCTTCAAAGACGAGAGCTTATCTGATGCCGAACTAGAGGATCGAGATATTTGGAATAGAAAAAATTACAATGAGCCGAATGTTCAAGAGCATGACGCTCAGTACCAGAGGATTAAAAGGGAGAAGAAATCGAATGGGAATTTGTCGTATAAAAGTTTGTCTGGGGTTCGTTTACCCGTAGCAGTGCGTCTTCAAATTCTGTTGGATTCGAACTACACCGTATTCAATGAACGATCCAATCCTCAGTGTGTTCATTGGTCAACAGTTAGAGGGTAATGTAATTTTTCAAATTCATTAAATTTTAAATGGTTTTTTCAATGAAGTATATTATAATTTTTGTTTGTTCACCAGAAATGCAATACTGTTCTCAACGCGCGTTTCACCAACCAAGTGTGGGTCTTCAGGAGATGAAGAAAACTAAAATCTAACTCTAACACTCTCAACGTGCATCTAACGGGACAATCTTTCGCTTTCCGATACACATCTATGATTTCGGGTAGAAATTTGCGTAAATTTCGACAGAGTGGAAATTTGCGGGAAATTTAATCGTTAAAGTTCTCACAAATTTTAACAGATTGATCCATAAAATGAAATACGATATAGTCCAGGAATAATAGTCAAATGAGGGAAAGTATCTTGGAATGAGATATAGTCAGCAAAACCTTTATTTTGGCACCTTAAAACTTGTCTCGAAACCTACTCATTCTAGGGTATTTTTGTTGTACATTTCTTTTTTGAAATCTTATCTATACACAGCAACACCTCTAGGCCAGAATGTGTTTGTATAAGCCATTTCTTTTACACTGTAGTCCATACCGATTTTGAAGCACATGTTGACTTTAATTTTTCAATGGGTATCAATCTCTGTAACAGTAACACGATTTTTTTTATTAGTCTTTACATTCAAATATTCCACTATCAAATTTTCTGTAACATGGTCTTTAACCCTGGATACAAACAATCAGATTTTTTTGTCCTGATCTCTTCCTGCAAATCCTTTACTTTCCCCCCTCTTCATTGATTTTTGCCTCTCCGATATAAACTTTATTTTGGTTCTTTTTGGTTTATAAGTAATATTTTTAAAATCATGGTCTACTTCTGTTTGTGTCTGTGATGATATATTTTGTTGAGGGGAATCATCCTGTAAGTTTATTAGCTGATTCATTACATTTATTTGCTTGTTTTGGATTTCCTCAAAGGTAGTCGTTTGTTTGTTTTTTTGTACCTGGGTCGGTTTTTGTTTCATGTAGTTTATCTGCCACTTCAATTGTTTTTGTGGGAATCTTTAATTGTTTACCATTTTTATGCTGAATTCCACGATTTGTTTGTATTTTTTTTACAATAATTGCACGTTTTTCGGGACCGATCTGAACAGTGTCCTTCACTGTCGGCCATATTTGACTACTGTCTTCCTATCGTGAGTCGGGCGCACTACCACCGCGGCCAATTCCACAATTGCCTGAATACATTGACATTTAACTACACAATATGAGGTAATAAGCTTGAGGTCAGTTCAGAAGATGCTCGAAATGGTTGCCTTGAACGTTTTAACATATGAAAAGCCTATCCAGTATTTTACGCCGTCAATATTTCACAGTAACGTCAATATCTCTACAAATATTTATTATTCTCTGCCGTATATCCAATATTGAAGCAGGTTCAGTTTCGTATACCTTTTGCTTCAAATAGCCTCATAAAAAAGTCCAAAGGTGTCAAATTTGGCGAGTGGGCTGGCCATTCTGTAGGACCTCTACGGCTCTAGAGGTCCTACAATATGGTTTCCCAATATTCCTGCCCAAACGTTATTTTTTTCTGGATATTGGGTATGCGTTTCCCGGAAAACGTGAGGGTTGGTGCGTCACTTAAACAAATATTGTGGAGATAGGTAGGATGCCTTGCAATGGTTTATGAGTAACAAATCCAATTGAAAGTCAAAAATTTAAAAATCATTTGTCATTACACTAAAATATAACATTATAATCAAATTCTTTCAATTTAAAAAGGAATAAATATTGGACATTTCACAGTTAAATCACAAAAGTTCTAAATATCCTCATTTTCAATGAAATGAGCAATTTTTTGCCTTGTTTGGGAAAAAATGAAACATTTCAAGGACTTTTTGAATAAGTGAATAACATTTATGTTACGAATTAACTCCGGAACTGTATTGAATAATTTCGGCGCTAAATGATTATAAGTGCACTGGATAATCGACTTATGCGTCCGTGGAACAATATGGTTGTTTTTTTACGGGTATCGTGAAAATGAGTTGGTAGTCGGAAGCATCTGTTTTTATGATATGTAGTTATAGTGCTGTAATAGAAGAGCTGTCGAATATCGAGAATATGAGCCTCAGAGAATAAAGCTTGGGTAGAGAAACGTTAATTTTTTCTGGATATTGGATATATGTTTCCCGAAAAACGTGAGGGTTGGTGTCACTCCAATAACGTAAATTTTGTCTGTGAACATTGCCATTAAAAAAAATTACATTCGTCACTAAAACAAATATTGTGGAGATAGGTAGGATGCCTTGCAATGGTTTCCATCATAATTTCGCAGAATTCTGTTCTTCAATCAGGGTCATCTTCAGTTAATTGGTGTACCATTTTAATTTTGTATGGATGATACCAATTCCTCTTCAAAAGTCTCCACACAGTAGAAGGAGACACCTCACGAACATTCGCGATGGAATAAGTAGACTGTTCAGGATTTACTACCATCTCCCCAATTATTTGCACTTGCTGTTCTTCCGGAATGGGCGGATGACCTGGGGGATTTTTGTTATGTACACTACCGGTAGTTGTGAATATTTTCTACAGATAGGACGATAAGTTGTTGAAATTGCCATATGGCAGATAAAAAGAAATATTTCTAGAAATAACGATATTAATATGTTTGTCTTTAGGAAATTATTAAATGTTCCGCCATTTTGTAGTAGGTGAAGATATTGACTTCATATTCTAGGGTTGTGAAGCATTTGTCAGGAGCTTCAAAAAGATTTGTCACNAAAAATTACATGAAAAATGCTTTAACTACTTCGAATGAGTATAAATATTTCAATTTTTTTTAGTTCTCTTGTAAATTGGTTGCAATCAGCTTACATTATCTATGGTTAGCATCGTTTTCTTGGATGCTGGTGGACGCAGTTCATCTCTATAGAATGTTGACTGAGATGAGAGATATAAATCATGGCCCGATGAGATTCTATTACAGTATGGGATATGTAGCGCCAGCAGTTGTTGTCAGTCTATCTGTTGGAGTACGAGCACATCAATATGGCAACTACTATTTGTAAGTAAACTATTTTTTATCCCTCAATGTTGCAGCAAAAAAAACTTGATATTTGTTAAATTTTCGACAGTGACAGGACAAACGTAATATATGAGATACAATATAAATATGAAACTAATAAAGATGAGTAAGTTGGAATGAAAAGTTCGTGAGCTAACATAGAAAAAAAATGGTTTGATTAAATTTGATTTTATCATTCAATATAGTTGCCTTCAAGTGCGACACAACGTTTATAGCGATCGTTCAATCTTTTGATACCATTCTTATAGTTCGATTTGTCTTCAGCCTCAAAATAGGCCTCAGCTTCGGCGATTATCCCCGCATCGGCGCTGAATTTCTTCCCAGCGAGCATTCTCTTGAGGTCTGAGAATAGGAAAAAGTCTCTGGGACCCAGATCTGGAGAATACGGTGCATGCGGTAGCAAATTGATGCCCAATTCATGTTATTTTGCCATCGTTTTCATTTATTTGTAACAAGGTGCATTGTCTTGATGGAACATCACTTTCCTTTTCTTCAAATGGGACCGTTTTTCACGATTTCGTCCTTCAAATGCTCCAATAATGTTATGTAATTGTCGCTGTTGATGGTTTTATCCTTTTAATATTGTTCTGTCCATATACGCTGCTCTTGTCTCTAAACATTATTTTATAGCTTATTTCTCATATATACGTTTTACTTTACTAGACTTTGCCAATAAGATGTTCAGATCTTGGGTAATGAAGCATATTTTGATTTGATTAGTCGATCCTGATTCCTGATCCTACCTGATCTGTAGGCGTATTGGTCTGGTAGCCAGTGCTATTTCCCGAATTAGCCTGTCAAGTAGTTTCTCTAATGTCTTTAATGCGCGAAAGACTTGAGGCTTATTGGTCTCGAGGCCTTCGAGTCCTATCCGATTTTGCCGGGATTTGAATCGAAGGTGGTCCTAATCAGTCTCCATGTTTTTGGATTATATCCCAGCGCTAAACTCGCTCTGAGTATTACACACAATTTTTTGAGTAAAATTTTCAGTTTTTTTTTGCAGCAATGCGGGATAAATGCAATCTGAGTTTATGGCCAATTTACTTTTCTCCAAATATACCACTTTTTTCGCCACTACCTAATCCTTCCTGGACACTCATTTAGGAGCTTCCAGTTCTGAATTTATCCAAGACTCTGGTGTTGGATTTGTTATTTTTGACCCGGGGAACTGCACTTGGGAAAGCTCTTTTGTAAGCTTCTGTTTTTATGTACTCTCTGGCATTTGTTTAAATATTGTTCATCCTTGGATTTCATCAGAACTTTGTTGTAGTTAGTTAGGTACCTTTTGTATTGATACCACATACCTGATTTCCTTACCATTTCACAGGTTTTTCTGGTTTGTTGTCTCATCCGTTCCAGTTCTTCATTCCACCAGGAAATATTCCTGTTAGATCTCTGGTTGTCGGTGGGACGATGTTCATTGTCCAAAATTGATACGGGACTGTATGACAACTTACAATCTCAATTTCGAGATTTACCTCCAAAAAAATTCAAATCCAAATTGGAAAGGAATGTCATCTAGTAACTGTATTTACAACTTCCAAGAATTCACTCAGTTGATCGCTGAAAATCAGCATTTGTCCCATTTTATTGTTACGGTATATATTCATACATTTATCTATATTTCATTCATTTGACATTCTATACATTTCACATTATATATTTTTCTACATTTTATACATCATACTCCATATATTTTATACATTTACGTTTTATATATAATTCATACATTTTACATTTTNTATGAGTCCCCTCGATTTTAAAGTTTATTTGCCGATGATCTAAACAACTTTCACATCAGAACATTTAATTACCCAACAAAGTTACTTATAAATGTGGTACCTACGCCTCGTGTTAACGAATGAGCTATGATCTGTCTGCTTGGCAAGCTCTCACTTGTTCGTCCACTTCCATGGTTGGTGAAGGTTTCAGACTATCGTGAGGCTATTCGCAAGGAAATAACACTGATCCAGTCACGAATTCCTCATGTCCTCCCTCACCAGCCATCTTTAGTTTAACCACCGTCAATAATCCACCCTGGGTGTATTCATAGATATCGAGGGAGCGTTCGATAAAACAACCTTTCCAACAATTACCCAGCAACTACACTCCAGGAATGTACCCCTGGTAGTAGGAGAATGGATACTCAATATGCCCTCTAGTAGAGCAATAAGTATCAATGTAGAAGACATCGCAGTGAGAGGACTGATCGTGAGAGGATGTCCACATTGAGGAGTCTTATCACCCTTTCTCTGGAACATAGTTCTAGATACCCTAATTAATCATCTCAACAGTAACGGAATTACATATGCAGATGACAAAGTTATCTTGCAGACCGGCATATTTGTGAACGCACTGTGCGATAGAGCGCAGGATGGGCTCAAATTAATAGAAACGTGGTGTAAGAAACACTCACTGTCGATCAATCCCAAGAAGACTAAGATGGTCCTTTTCACCAGGAAAAAAAGTTTAACGGGCTTAAAACCTCCCGAAATCTTCAAAAGCAAACTAAACTTCCCTGAAGAGGTAAAATACCTTGGTACTATCCTCGACAGGAAGCTAACATGGAACTCTCACCTACAGAGTAGAGCAAAAAAAGCATACGTGGCTTATGAGCAATGTCGGAGGACAGTGGGACGCGCATGGGGTCTTTCACCCCTTGTGGTCACCTGGATCTACACGGCAATAATAAGACCTATGTTAACGTACGGAACCATTGCATGTGGAACAACAGTTCTACAAGCAACGGCAATTCAAAAATTATATCAAATACAGCGACTGGCTTGTTTAAACATCACAGGAGCCATGAGAACAACACCAACCGCGGCAATGGAATTAATTACTGGTCTGCTCCCTCTGGACCTGAACGTTAAGGTGGTTGCGTTAATGGCCATGTTACGATTGCGCATGGCTGGTGTAAACCTCGAAGTAGGAACGGGTCAATTGAGGCTAAGTCTATGGTGGAAAACGCTTACTGCGCAGCCTCTGCTGCAGGCAACCAGTGACGCAATTGAACCCAGATTTGTGATTAATAAACCCTACAAAATATAAATAAAACAGAACACTGAGTCAGATGCTACAAATGCAATACACATATCTACAGATGGCTCAAAAACCAAAGAAGGCTCGGGATGTGGAATGTACTCCAGATAATTAAGCCTAAGAATTGAGTGGGGATGGGAAAAATACCAGCGTGGTCCAAACAGAACTGACTGGTATCTCAATTGCCACAAAAAAAATAACCAGGAAAGAAATTTCTGGCAAAAACATAACAATCTGCACTGACAGCAGACAAGCCCTATTAGCCTTGAACAGACAACATATAACCTCAGGGCTAGTACTAGAGTGCCACCAAGATTTAGCCAAAGCCTCGGTAGATAATAACATTATCCTGAGGTGGGTTAAAGGGCACGACAGGAGTAAAGGTAATCGCATTGCCGACTCTTTAGCCAAGGAAGCGGCTGGACTAAGAATTTTGGGACCCAGTGGCACCTACGGTCTGATGACTTCGACAATTGCGGAACTAGCCAAATGTTACACCCATGCTCAACCCCTAAAGAGATGAGATGGAATCAAAGTATGCAATCTTGCAGGATTGCCTTGGGAGACCCTGGGAAGCTGGTGCCGAAGAAATATCTGGCGATGACCAGGAAAAATCTACGCACCACAGTAGGATTTCTGTCTGGCCACTGTCAACTAAGGAAATACCTCCACAATATGGGGCAGTGGACACACCTCTGCAGGATGTGTGAACAGGAAGATGAGACTGTCAGGCATGTCCTGTGCGAGTGTCCGGAGTTACCGTCAATAAGAGAGTGTATGTTCGGCGAGTATTGGTCTACACCTGCCACCTTCCTGGAAAGGACAGGATGGACGATGACCTAGGAGGACAACTCCTCGGGAGGATGTACAATGGGTCACATGTGGCCTAAGTGCTGTGGGCTTACACTCACCCTCCCTACCCTACAGATACAGATACAACCATCAAGTCCCTCGTGCAAAATTTACTAAACAGCAGTATATTCAATCCTTTTCGGATAATTACTCTCCCGTTCTTGGGGTCTCTGAGGTTCTGTTGTAAATTAACTCCAACTCTTCCCAGAGCAATGTCAAGGTTCCCATAACCTTTCTAAGGATCGCCGAAGTCTCCTTACTGTATTGTAGGTTAGCTTGTACTACCCTCAGTGTGACTCAAAGGAGTCTCCTCCTTCTTTCGTTTGTGGCTGTGGTCAATTGAGTTCCCACGAGTATGGGGGGAAGGGTTATCCACATCCACGAAGCTCCCTACGTGGATGTAAGGCTAAATACTCTTAGAGGTCGCAAGGTGTCTTCGAGGCTCCGTTGGCGATACCTGAAAAGGCGCAGGTACCATTTATCCTTGGGCCTGGGTCGCTAAACACCATTGGATTTTGCCCCCTTTTCAGTTGGCTCTTACAACAGGTAGGGGTTACCGCGGACCTGATTACCTTATTCGTCTGACTTTTCCCTCTCGACGTCCGACCTGGTAGGCCCAACCATCAGCTGGCTACCACCGGCATGGCTCTCGATGTCATAAAAGTGTGCAAGCCCCACCACCATGACAAAGTGGTGGGGCTTCATCTCTTGATTTTGGATAGAGAATTATTTGATAAAAGTATGGAAACTCTTGATTGCACAATTTGTTGACAATATTTTGGGATTATTTGATGTTATAATTGATTCATGTAAAAAGGTATAAAAATTTATGTTCAAACATTTTCAGCTGCTGGGTATCGCTTTACGAGAGTGTGGTTTGGAGTCTTGTTGGACCAATCTGCCTCTTAGTATTTGTGAATCTATTTGTATTAGTATTTTCAATAAGAGCAGCTTTCACCCTACAAGATCATGTGCTTGGATTTGGAAATCTAAGGTGAGATAATCATGAATTTCGATATTCATTTCTTGACTCGAGTTTTTTCAGGACTCTACTGTGGGTTTCTGTGATAGCTCTACCACTCTTGGGGGCAACATGGGTGCTAGCTCTCCTGGGTGCGTCTGAAAATCATCCACTTCTGACACCCTTTTTGTCTGTCGCTGTATTGATACATGCAGGATTTTCTCTGGCTGGATACTGTTTTGCTAATAACAGAGTGAGGCAGAATCTTTTGAGGTAAGTACATATCAATTAATCAATACTTGTGTGCAAAGCACTCGTATAAATAAAAACACTGAATACTAAAAGCTACAATTAGTCAGTCAACATATATCTGCTTCAAATCTGTTTTTCTGTTAATCAGCTGTCGCCCCCATACGAACGACAACTCCCAGAAGTTGAGAAACTTGTGCGAGCTAAGGACTAACGAGGTCTTACCTTTTAACGTGTGAATCCTAACACGAGAAACAAGAAAATAAGTAAAACGGAGGGTTCTGGCACATTTGTATAAAGGAGGATTGAGTTGAAAATCGTTAGCAATAAAAAATATTAATTTAATTCAAAGCTATCCACATAAAATTATTTCAAAGGATAATACAGATGAAGTATCAAAGGAAATCAGTGACTTTGTAAAAAAATGGACTAGCACTAAACACTGCTAAGACCTATCATATTAGAATCTTAGCAAAAAATATGAATCCTGATAATGATCTCTACTCAAGAGTCAATGGAAAATCGATAGAAAGCAAAGAGTATGAAGTTCTTAGGTGTTGTGCTTGATAGAAAACTTTCATGGGAAAACTATTGTTATATTATTGATAAAAACACTACTCTTTCCCTTTTACAAAGCGACTTTTATTTTACGACTTCCACGTTGTTTAACAGAGTAGTAACAAAGTTTTATGCTCAACTCAAGGACATTTTTTATGCATCACACACATGATCCAAAGATATATATCGTGAATGAAGAAAACTTAGAAATCTGATTTGTATCGCCATCTATTTAAAATGGACCAAACTAAGGCCCAAACAGCATTTCATTTTAGCGTAACAATACAGATTTCTATGTAGATTCTTAACAACTATATCACCACTTTATGTTCAACACTCAGGACAATCACATACATTATTAGGAATCTGAGGGATACAATATCAGCTGAAGTACTGAGAATTCTTTATTACGGATTGGCACAGTCATCTATGCAATACGGGATAATATTTTGGAGATCCTCAACTCACATACTAGGGGCTTTTTTTCTCCAAAAAATATCAGAGCTATGAACAAAACTCACCCTTCAACCACAATTGTAAACCACCATTTCGAAATTCTAAAATACTAACGCTACCTTGTCTCTACATCTTGAACCTGATAGTGTTTATAAAGGACAGTGGAAATACATTTATGGAGAATGGCCAAATATATGTATATGATACAAGGAATAAGGAAAATATTCATCTGTCCTTTTCCAGGCTTCTCGTTGGTCAAAATTCCCCAAAATATGTTGGTGTAAAATGTTTCAATAAGATGAAAAATCTAATAGATATGAGCGGAAGCAAGTCAGCAGTTAGGACTAGAATATCAACATATCTCAGTGATGAAGCTTTCTATAGCGTAGAAGAGTTTCTGGGGTCCTGAATATATTTTAAAATTATAGTCGTACAAACCTCAAGTGAATTCGTTGTGAATTGTTATAATTGTACATTCTTATAATGTTCTTTTTTTATATCTATAACACTGAATAGTGTCCCATTGTTGCAATTGTATCATATTCCCACTTTATATTCCATTTTGTCCATCCCTATTTTTATATATAACAATAAATATTTATTGTATTGGCTATATTTCATCNATCTGTCAATTTCACTTCAAAATACAGTATTCATGCATTAATTTCATTATCCCAAATTTCAATTTTTTGAGTTGACCCGTTTAAAAAATAAAAGGGGGAGCATTGAAGAAATGCACTGTACACATGGAAGATGAATAAAGTGGTTTTATGCAATATCGTAGGTTTGGGGAATGGTCCCGTGTTGGATGTAGAACTGAGATGGAAGATGATTGGTATGACGGACATACAGATGGACCAATCCTTGTCAACTGCAGTTGTAATCACTTATCAACTTTCGCGGTTTTGGTGGATATTGTGGATCTTGAGGTGATTTAATTTAAACCGATTAAATATTCAATGTTTTCCATGCATTTTTTTTTCAGTATATACCTGAACCTTCTCTACTGGAAGATGTATCGAGCTATAGTTGCTTCTCCATATCTTTACCACTTCTGTTGGGGACTTATCTGATACTAGCTCTCATTAGAGGACTACAAACAAACTCCAACACAATCAGAAAGAACTTGGTTCTGTGTGTATTTCTGGCAGAGCTTTTGTATTTCGTGGCACTGAAAGCTCGAAAACCCATGGTTGGAAACGAGGTACGTTTTAAGAAGTCACTTCAAAAGCCGTGAAGTCAACTGGAATTTATTTGAAAACCTGAATGTTCAGAATTCTTTAAAAAAATTCTGTGTTTTTGAATATTGAACAAAAGTCATTTTTTGTGGTGGAAATCATCAACTCAGTTATTTTTTTTTTAGTATGTGGAAGGTGAAAACAGAGGTCCGGCTATTAAATAACGAGACTGGTTATGAAAAAGGGCTTTATTGTAAAAATTATTCTACATTCGAATGTTCTCCTTCGATATACTTCCCTCTCCCTTCGCCACACACCTTTCCATACGTTTTTTCCATTGATCGAAGCAGTGCTGGAAATCTTCTTTGGTGAGGGCTTTTAGGACCTCTTGCCGTGTTTTGCTTTACCGCTTCCATCGTCTCTAATCGAGTCCCTTTCAAAACAGATTTTATCTTCGAAAACAAAAAAAAATCGTTTTTGGTACGAGAAAAGAAACACGTTCGTTTCAAACTGCTACTGCACAAATACTGTAATAGTGACGAAAACGTGTTTTGGTACGTGAATAGAGGGGATTTCCGGATACCCAATACACTACTCGTTTTTCCTCAACCCCTCTACGGCGCCCTCTAGGTGCGCAGTCTTGTTCTTCAATAGTCAGACCGCGTACTCAAAAAAGTCGATGAAGAACCCCATGTGTCTTTATTCAATCTAATCCGGTTTCTTCTTCGGTCTCCGGTAACTCCTCCCAAATCTTAAGTCTATTGTTGGGTACAGACATCCTTTGTAATTTCTGAATAAAGTTATGTTTTCGAGTTGGGTTTATTCCTTTCAGAGTGGATCTGATTTGCGGCCGAGCTATTCCTTCTTTCAGAGCTTTCGCAGTTGGGAAACACGATTCAATTCGCTCCCCATCACACTTTGTTTTGTAAAATAGTTTTATGGAACCTCTCACAAAATGTACTTCACAAAACATAGATAATAGGGGTTTTGTCTCCGAACAGTCCGAACAGTTTTGGATGAACAGTTTGTAACATCCAAAAAGTCATCTACATCCGTATGAATGCAGGTTATACGTCCACTATTTGATATTTGAACACAAGTCTTCAAAGTCTACGACTTTGCCCTTCTGTTTTAATGACTTTTCCACTTGGTGATGGAATGAGTCAGCACTCATGAAAGTGTGACCAGTTTGAAGATATTTGAGTTTCAGTAAATTTATTGTTGTACATTTAGAATTATTGAAGTGAACTAAAAAACAGGACATAGCCCAGTTTTTATTTTGGGCTGCACAATTATCTATCCAAAGCGTTATTTCTTTGGCATCTCTGTGTGATAATAGAAATTCATTGAAAGTTGATATTATGTCAGATTGTGACATTCCAGCACCTAAATATATTCACCAAAGTTCAGTTGCAATGAAATTGTCAATTTTGTCGTTTTAAATCTGTTTAAAATATGTTTTTCCGTTAATCAGGTGCCGCCCCCATACGAACGACAACTCTCAGAAGTTGAGAAACTTGTGCGAGCTAAGGACTAACGAGGTCTTACCTTTTAACGTTAATGCATCCGAATCTTATTCACTGGTATCTCTTTTTCGCATTGTTCACCATCGCTGTAGGAATCGCTACACAGGAAAAAGTCTGCGTTGTTATCACACTCGTTATTACTATTAGTACTTGTCCAAGGACGCCACAATTTAAACAAATAACAAAAATTTTAAGTAATTATAACTTCACCAATATCGAATTTCAACACTTAAATCGCGAACATTGACAACACGACTCTTCTAACCATCCTCACATTCTATTGGTCACCGTAACATGACGTCAAATTTAATTTTAAGACTCTTCAGTTATAAAACCCTGTTAGTAAAAATTATCCAATACGAACCGCCAATTCTTCAGTCCACGTGGACTAATTCGTAGCGGCATTATTTCTTTTTATTGGTTTTTTTGGCCTTTGACTTCGCCGATAGCTTTAAGAATTACTATATCGGTTAGTTCGACTATAAATGATGTTTGGAAAATAATGTAATATATTTTTGTTAAGCATGCCCTAAAGAAAATAACCCCGGCCGTCACTGGTAGCCATAAACCAATCGTGACGTAACTAATAGCGCGCGAATGTTCTCTGCTATTCTAGAAGCAGCGAGAATAATGTTACCGATTTCGATGGTAATTCGGCGAAATTTCTACTACATTCGATTACGATATATAAACGCTAGCCAGGAGCATATCGGCAGGGACAAGTGTAGGTACGTTGGGTAAAAAGATCTTCAGCGGAGTGGTTACTCCGAAGTGATAATGAAACTGACTTTGGCTAGAAGACAGCAAGAGCCTCGCAAAGAAGAGAAGCCGTTACAAGCAGTACTTGTACTTCCCTACCTCAGAGGATTGTCGAAAAGGATAAAAAGCTTGAGGTCATCCACAGAGAGAAACACTGTTTAAGAGGAAGTTCAAAGAAGCTGCATAAATATTGTCCAATGACGCATTTAGGCAAGGTAGCGTACAGATAAGCAACATATGGAAACCTGTAATCAAGCGGGAAAAACTGTCAACTCTTGCTAAAACGGTGAAGCGGTTTGAGGAAAGAGGAGATAGGTGGAAATGCTCTAATGACTTATAAATAGTCATCTCGCGGAGAAATAGTTCAGTCAACATCCGAAGACGATTGTGGATACTAATAATCGAAACGTCGTGAAGTAACTTGGTTTAAAATCATTTTTAATTTATTTTTTATTTAATATAGTCAGTAATCATTTCAATTTTGTATCTTGATTATTTTATTCGTTTTACTGTAATATCATTGCAGGTGTTATTGCTCTAATTTTATTTGTTCTTTCATAGATTTCGAATCAATGGAAGTCCAAACTAATGTAATTTCCATTTAATTTACTGTTAAATGAAAAACAACTACTAACCGGCTAATACCACGCTAGGCATTGATTTGTATTCGATGGACATTTATGCAAGATACATCACAAAGGTATTATTACCAGCAAATGTCAACAATATATGGGATTCCAGATATTTAGTTGAAACACCAACGACGCGCGACCTTGAAATGCGCTAGAAGTCGCTTTGTATCCCTACTTAAATAACACTCTATCGTTTGATGAAACTTTTGAGTATATTCATACAAAAGTATCACAATTTACAAGTCAATTGTTCAGTCACACTCAGACTACTGTTCCTCTATCCTTTATCTATTCAATCAGAATAAATTGTATCACTCCAAAAACTTCAAAATCGTGATAGGATCATTTTGAAGTGTCCTAGAGATACTCTTATTACTATTATGCTCAATATTTTTAATTAGCAATCCATTTCCCAAAAACTATTATATTTCAATGATTTTCGTATACAAAATATTGAACAATTCAGGATCATCTTATTTCGAACAGTACATTGTCTTTCGTCATGATATTCACCACCACTTTACTCGAAATAATAATGATTCATATATTAACAGAACAGAAAACAAAAACAGCATGAGTTCTTTGTGTTTCAAAGGTTTTGATCAGTTCAACAAATTATCAAATGTAAAATAAAAAAATAAATATAGTTTAAAAAACTATAAAACACGCTTTTAAAAAACATCGAACTNAAATTATCTATGTACCACGGGAATTAATGAGCCTTAATAACCTCAGGCAATTGCTGTCCCTCGGGCCAGAGGCCCTCGGGACGCAAACTTTGCCATCGGTAATTAAGGCCCTCCTAATTCCCTTGATACATAAATAACTATTAAATAAGCTTAACAATAACGAACGAAAAATACTAGTATTATTGACGGGCGGTTGATATATAAAAAATATGGCGCAATGCTACACTATTTAAAATTATTTTTAAATTTTTTAGTTCGATTTTCTTTGAAAGCGTGTTTTTTAGTCTTTTAAACCATATTTATTTCATCCAAACTTTGGGATCAATCAGCAGTATATTGTTTAGAAAAGTGCCATTGATATTTTCGGTTTCGTACAGCGCCATCTGCCCGCGAGTAGATCAAGCAATAATGTCGATATATCAAGCAGGTTAGTACAGCGCCATCTGGCCGCTAATAGATCAGGCAATAATGTCGATAATTCTGTCAAATACAGATCTCAATATAGAATGAAAAGGAGAGTTACAAAAAAAGAAAACATATATACAGTTGAAGCTAATATAAAGCGTGTAAAAAATAAGTTGAAGTTTCCAAGATCAACAAAGAACAATTGTAGTCATCAGTCAGTATAAGTACGCTTTTTTTCAGGTCAATGATGAGATGTGTCGGTAAGAAAGTACCTTTGTTAGAAACGAATTCAGTGGTTGGTGTTCCGAGTACCAGTAGTCAGAATATCAATGCTCAATCGGTGAGTGACTTTAAACTGTCAAATTCCCAAAAATGTATTAATTAAAACTCTCATTTACAGCGTTCTGCTTTGGCGTATCATTCTAGTTTAGATCCGACTAGAAGAAACATAGGCATATCCACCTCCAGCACTACTTCTCGATCAACGACCAAAACTAGTTCGAGCCCCTACAGGTAAAAAATTTAAGACCTTGAAATTTCGGTTTTCAATTCCTTGGCATTCTTTCTAGAAGTGACACCCATTTACGCAATACCTCAACGTCTACTTCAAACTACAACTCAACTAGTGATGTACCGTCTTATTTGAGGGGTTTCGAACAGGAAGGCGGTTCACACAGAAACAGAGAGGTTCAAGAGAGGAGAGATGAAAGACGTGAGAGAAGAACAGACAAAGGCGATAGTGATTCAGATTCAGATGGTTCAGAAGGTAGGAGCTTAGAACTTGCTTCGAGTCACTCTAGTGATGATGATGAGTCCAGCACTAGGAGGCATCAAACAAGAAGTAAGAGAGCAGTATATCTAGGTTTACTTCTTTGAACTTGATTGATTGTAAATTGTAACAGGTAATAAGGCTTCTGAGCCTCTCATCATTGCAACTCACATGATCTTTTGTACACAACCTTCAACAAAAACCTAATATCTCTGAAACCGTTCCGGCTTTTTTTGAATTATGGTACGCATAAAATAGATTTTTTTCATAGTGGAGGTTTCCTTAATGTTCATCAGTTGCATCCCTGTTAACGTGTCCTGCCATATTTTTGTAATTGCCCTCTATCTCCTCATAAAAATGGTCTCTTATACCAAAAAAATTGCATGGCATAAGCCAACTGATATGCCGACATCCTCATCAACTTCTCTAATAACAATTTTCACCAGTTTCTCAACAGTTTCATGTGCTGGGGCATCTAGGATGAGCATTGTCATGTACATCTCTACTTTTTGTGAAGATGTTGTACCACTTGTAATAGCTATTTGTATAACAAGGGAGGAAAGTGTTACTTTTCTTCCCGAGAATGAAGTTTACTACCCGACGCGTAGCGGAGGGCAGTAATCATTCAAGGGAGGAAAATTCACTTTACCCCCATGTTATACATATGATTTTTCCGCCTCCCTCAAATTTTTAAATAATTTATTTATGAAACTACCAAAAAATAATTTATTTATGAAACTTACAAACAAAATTTATTAAAGAACTAAAACTGAGAAGTAGGTACAGTATAACTCATAGGGACGGTATTTTCATACTTGCATCCTACATATTTTTAATTTCTGCTAGANAATATCATTGACTTTAGGTCGATGATGGCCACTATCTTGCACTGATGAGTGGCTAATGAGCTCGAAACCGGTCTACAAGTGTGCCCGTTCCAAAATTGAAGGTCGACTCTTTCAGTTAGAGATGGCACTGAACAGTCAAATTTGAAGGACTTGTTCGAACTGTTCCAGTTCATATTGAAAACCTGTTCTTTTTAACTGTTCATGTTCACCTATTCTTGAATGACGTCTCATCTTGCGTCACGGTCACTTTTTAGCATTCGGTTCCGAGTGGTACCGAATTTCAGTACGTTCCCTCCATTCGTCTTGTGGTTCTGAGTTTTATTTCAGTAACAGGCTGAATTTTAGTGTAAACAAATAAAAAATCAAGCTCTACTTGGATTTTTTTTAATCACAGGGAAACAACTGCAACTAGCAACATGTGAAACTTGCAAGCAGGTTATTTTTTCAAAATCTTCCATGACAAATTTAAAGCGTCATGTGCTTAAAAAACACACTATCGTGTGTTTTCTACCCACTGAAGGAACAGTGAAAACCCACGTTCAGGAGAATTCACAGAAACAGAGACCTACCTACTTACAGGTAGGTATTTAATTAATTCGTTTTGCATTTTTTCTGTTGAAAATTTCATGGAAAATAATTCTGACTTGTCAGTTCTCAGTGTAGCCGAGAGCACAGGCCACAGAGCGGTCACTTCATCCAGGTTCCAGCACCAATCGACGCAAGCGTCTTTGGAATAGCCACTCACCGTCTGAAAAAGTTCAGTTCATTGAATAGAACAGGTTCACTGAACAGTTGACTGATACCTGTTCCGAAAAACCAGTTCGGTTTTTTTGAGCCCATCTCTACTTTCAGTTGTATTGCCAATTGCGTATGCAATTGGAAATTTTCTGTGAAAATTCCTGCACTGACGCCTGTCGGATATAATCCAACGCCCTTCGTGGTATTAGCCAGGGGAGTAGTTGTTTTCTGATAGGCGTCAGTCCATTAAACCTACTGTGTAGGTATATAGAGACTGGCCTGAATGTTTAAAGTTCTGCTTTAGATCAGTTTTTGATTTTATTAAAAAACTTCAATCTAATCCGGTTTTTTCTTCGGTCTCCGGTAACTCCTCCCAAATCTTGAGTCTATTTTTGGGTACAGACATCCTTTGTAATTTCTGAATCAAGTTATGTTTTCGAGTTGGGTTTATTCCTTTTGGAGTGGATCTGATTTGCGGCCGAGCTATTCCTTCTTTCAGAGCTTTCGCAGTTAGGAAACACAATTCAATTCGCTCCCCATCACACTTTGTTTTGTAAAATAGTTTTTTGGAACCTCTCATGAAATGTACTTCACAAAACATAGATAATACTTGGTGATGGAATGAGTCAGCACTCATGAAAGTGTGACCAGTTTGAAGATATTTGAGTTTCAGTACATTTATTGTTGTACATTCAGAATTATTGAGCCAACCGATATTCGGCACTGGGATGATCTATTTGCAGAAAGTCAATGGTTTTTGCAAGTGAAGAGAATAGTTCTCTATATTGTATGTCGCTAGGTGGTCGATAAACGTAACATATGAATACAAGTGTAGAAAGGGCAAACTTTTTAGTTCACCCCGATAAGTTACTGTATTTCACAATTTAACTATATATTGGGATAAATACACATCAGCTTTTCAGAATCTGAAATTGAAGTCTCTGTTATAGATATACGACAAGGTTATCTACCAAATATCACGGAACATGTTGCTTCGAGATGTGGAACACCGCCATCACTTAATGTTGTTACAAATTCCCAACTATTTCCAACTGTTCAACCGAATTATGGCTCGAGGTGGTCCAGTCAACTTCCTGAATCATATTTACCCAATCCAAATGGTGAGTTCAATTTGTGTAGAACCTATTTTTTACAGAATCTTTGATTTTTGATTATGTAAATATTATTTATTTGTTTACCGACAATTTTACAATCAACGTATGAATTTTATTTATTTACCAATACCTACCTATAGGGGTTAAAAAGGGCTTTTCATGATGAGCGTTAATTAGCCGTTTCTGACAAAATATTCAACGGATCAACCTGAAAATTCCACAGTATGCATAAGTCAATATGACCTACACGCCTAAAATATTTTAGACCAAGCGGCGTTGTCGCTTCTACTATAAAGTAGCGGCTTCTTTGATTTTTCAAATGGAAC